TCATTTCCACGTACTGTTGGGTGTGTGGGGTTTTGTTGTTTTGTTTTGTTTTGTTTTTTTTAATTGATGTAAGGTTAATTAATCGGTTCATTAGATAGCCATACCTGTAATTTTTAAGTGATTTAGATTTCCTGTAAGTTTTAAAGTGATTCCTGGGCTTGGAATGTGGAAATACTTTATTGCATTGGGATAAAAAATTCCTACGTGCCTCTGTAATGCATGGCACTCGCCCTGCTGTCTCAGACAGCTTAAGTGTGATTGAGCAACTAGAGCCAGTTGAAACATGTTGTCGCCTTCCAGAATTGTTCTTAGTTTCTGAATTTCCTCCTTTTCCTCCTGAATCCCAGAAGGTTTTATTAAGACAGCTTTGTGGGAACCATTAACTCTAAGCTGCATAATTATGTTAACTGTGAGCTTTGACTTAGTTTATAGTAGGAAAAAAAATGCACGTCTCTAGAAATTTATATTCCTCAATGACAGAATTTTAACTTAGTAAATTAAAAGGTTTATTCAATTTACCTAGGAAGTTACAGTAATTAAGAGCAAGAGAGTTTTCCTGCAGAACTACTGAATGCAATAAGGTAGGTTCTGTGAAAACATGACACTCTTAATAAGCTGCCATGCTATTATGCTTGTTCTTCACCTTCAAATTGCATGAGACTCTCATGTATTTAAAGAAGGAGATTGTGTTGCTGTTTAGCTTGCTTTGTGTAGAAGCAGGGACCAATATTTAGCATATTTATCTTTATTTAGGGCTGCATTTCGTGTCATCGTTGCACAGCTCAGAATTGCACACATTTGGGATGCTAGAAATCAGGCCAGAGTGGGGTTTTTCCCTTTTTTTTTTTTTTTTTTTTAAGGCATGTATACAAACAATAGTGCAGTTATGATAATCCTTATGCCAGTATTAGTGTGGTGCTGCGTGACTTCACTCTCACTGTTGCATTTGAGACCACCTAATGAGAGGCCAGCTCACTTTCCCTCTCCCTCTCCTGCCGTCCCCAGTCTGTCAGTTACTAAAGTAGGGCAGACTGTGCTCCCGCACCAGACCCTCGCGTGCAATAGCCAATATTATATCTTGTGATTAGGAGGTGGCATGAGGCAAAAAAAACCCTTTCCACCATCTTTTCACCCTGAAAGGCCTAAGATATTTTTAGTGATCTGCAGCAAACACTCAGGTGTCTAGGATGGATGAACAGATTTTGGTGGTGCACTTAATTAAGTGCTGGCATCTGTATTTATGTTACTC